CCTCCCCTCCCCTCCGCCTGTAATCGGGGTATTTTCTCAGCCTCTGTTTAATACGCATACTTCTCCCTTGGCTGTTCCCCAAACTCTAAAACGAGTGCACTAATTTCCTCAACCAAGGGCTTGTCTAAACAACGGTGTTTTGGCTGCTTTAATGAGTGCTGTTCAAGTGCTAAATCCCCCTAAGCCTCGTGGAGTTACATTAGTACAAACATTGCCATTCGGGATGCAATATCTGCTTTAAAGCACCTCTCTAGGGCTGTGTACCAGCATCCAGAGTAGCGTGGAATTAAAGAGCGGTAGCTTAAGCTTGCAATGGTTGTGGGACGTGTAACCAGTTTTAAAAAGCAAACCTGTCTGTGATGGTTTTATAGAAGCTCAAATACTCATGGGGGAAAAAGTTGATGGTAGGACAGTTGACGTCCAAACATATGTCAAGCTACTCAATTATTTCCTGATAGATTTCTTGTCCTAGTGGGCTGAAAGCGGTCAGGATGTTTGATGATGTCTTGCTGGCGTAACGTGACTTGGTCCTTTTCTTGGCCCATGTCCTTGCCTGAGACCTGCAGTGTTGTAGAGATTACTCCTGTGCAGGTTGGTTATTATAAACGATATTTACCTGCTAGGATATTAAAGGACTTGTCTACACCAGAGCACCTCTACTGTTACGTTGGCAGGGCCTCCAAGCGCTATAGCAACCGTTCCCTCAGCCTGCTTCACACAGCCTCTGTATCTGAGGAAGCTGTGGCAAAGCAAGGAGTCTGTAACTATGTCCACGGCAGGGGTTCTGCAAACACAGGCGCCTCGGTCCTGGGGTGTTGCATTCCCTCACACCCCTTGCTGAGCCTGTACTCATAGGAGTAGCTTGGGGAGCTCCCCACTCCAGCCGCAGCGTGCATATTACCCTCTGCTGTGCAGGCAAAACTGTGGGTCTGCAGAAGTTTTCTGGTGCTTTATTCCCTCCCTCTTTTATTCATTATTTGCTTCGGATCACCGCCCTCCTTACAACTGTCCACAGACCCATCTCCTTGGAAACGGCAGAACTTGTTTATGTGACAGTAATAAGGAAACTAATTGATGCGTGGCAGCTGCGGGCATGCGAGGGAGCCATGTTCCACCAGAGGACGTTGGAAAAGTGAGTCTCTGCTTATGCTGACTGACGAAAGGTTAGATGGCATGAGCAAAAACCACCTTCTTCCTCTGGAGTTCCCAAAGTTGCCTTCCCCTGTTCACAGCAGTGGTAGGAAGCTTGTTGTGTGCGCATATGTGTATTTTTATGGACTTTCTTAGTCTTTTTATCACCAACGTGTAGAGGTTGAGAAGCAATGGGGAAATTGGTAAGTCTTGCTTATTTCTTATTTCGTGGAATGCTGTGCTGGTGCGCTGTGCCATGCCAGGCCCATCTCCTTTCCTGTCTTGGCCCTGACCTTGCCTATGGCCGCAGGACTCTCTCATCCGTATATTGAGACTTCTGCTGCTGCCTGCCGTGTGCCCTTCACTGCCACTGCCCCTTCTGCTGATGGAAATGGCCGATACGCCTGTCTGGCCTAGCCGGTTGTTAGAGTCGGTCGGGTGTCCCTGTGCAGTGTTTCCTGGTCCTCCAGAACGGAGTTGTGGAGGCCCATCAACGGCTTGTGTGGCCATAAATGTGGCAGGGTCACCAGGCGGGACCTCTCGCCAGAGATGGAGGCGTGCCTGGCTGCCTGCAGCTGTGGACCCAGCGCCGAGAGCCTGTGGCCTGGGCTCGGGCAGGATGGCGGCGGGGCCCCACGGAGAACTCTCCGGAAAAGGCCTGTGGTACAAGGGTAGCCTGGGCTGCCCCCCTCTTGCAGGTCTGGGGGGCTGTGCTGGTTCTGGGGGGGCCATGCCGGTGCCAGGGGGGCCACCCTGAACTGTGGGATCTGCCCTGGGGGTGTTAGCACACAAAAGCAGCAGTGTCTGGGAGGCCCCAAGTCAAGCAAGCCCCGGCAAAGAGATGGTCATGTCGACGTCTCTGCGACGACAACTTGGAGGAGGAAGGAAGTATTTCCGTGTACCTTTGGTTTAGTGTGTATCTTGAAGAGGCGGTGTGGATGGGTGATGATTTTTCTAGTTTATACAGCCTCTGAAACAGTGCTGGAAGAGCTGTTCCTGGAAACGTTTTCCGTTAGTGAAAACTTTCTTCCCGCCCGCCCGGTATGAATGGCTTTTCCTGGGGTGTGCTTCATCAGCAGGTTCTAGTCTTGGTTTGGGTGTCGTCCTCCTGTTACTAGATACCTCCTTTGGGTGGTTTTCTTAGGAGCTAGTGTCTGTAAATAGCCTTGCCCAAGCAGGAAGCCTGTTCCAGTTGCATGCCCTGTATTTTAAACTCGAGTGATAATACTGTAACTGTTATATCACTGAACCTTCAAATAAGCTGTTATTCTACCAGCTGAAGCCGTATATACTGTTCATTTCTTACACTGTATCAAGTGAAATGCTTGGTACTACTTTGCTAGGTAGCTGCGGTGTGATTTAAAACTTGCTTTAATTCCTAGAGGTTATATTAGACTAAAGCACTTTCTGCAAGTTTCACCATCCATGTCTTGAGTATCAAGGAAAATCATTATTTGGCAGGGTGTAAACTGTGTTCAAATGTGCTTCTGATAAAATAAAGAATGCAAAAGGGTGGGGCAGAAAGGGAGTGGAGAAACAGGACTTAACACATAGGCTTAATAATGGGGAGAATGCTGGGGATATTGCATGTTAAACATCCTTCTGTTATCTTAACACTAAATGTGGAGAGCTATGTCTTTATTATGTAATAAAGCCATATGTAAAGAGACAGCCATTAGAGCACGAAGGAGGCTGCAAATGAAAACGGGCTGTAAAACTTGGAATGCTTGCTCTGCAGGGAGCACTGAGAGGCAGACACTGAGGTCTGTAAAATAGATCATAGAAAATGCTGTTAATCCTTGACTTTTAAAAGGACAAACATCAGCATAAGCTATTAGAAAGCACCGAGAAAAGTCTTAGAACATTTTGAGTGGTCGAGGAGAGCTATGTTAAGTGTTATGAAAGGCATTGTTTTGGAATTGCATTACAATACAGGATTCATCTGGGGGTGTGTTGTTTTGTTTTGTTTTTTTTTTTAATTATTAATTTAGTGCACATGATCTGGTTTGATATAAACAGAGCCAGGGACAGCCCAGTGATATACTTCGAAAAGTTACATAGTCTGTTAAAGAGCTAATGGCATTAAATAGCTCTCTTTTTACAGGCTATGGATTCCGAATCAAAGAACAGTTTCATAGGAAGCTTTCTTCAGCCACCAGATAAGTTGCTTCCTGCAGCCTTTGCTTGTATAGAATCAAAGAAGTTGGCAGCTGTTGGTTGTGACAGGTCTTCTATCCCCAATAACCAAGGTAAAGCCAAAATATGTCCTTAAAGTGGTCTTTTTAATTGTTCCATGTGAAATCTCTTGAGCAAACTCCCCGTTCTGTTTTACTCAGTTCAATGACTTGCTGCGATTATCAGACTGACATTGAGACAGGATGTATACGTGTCATGAGGGAGTAGTCTCCCTGAAGTCATACATCTGGAATGGAAACTGCTGCAAGTCTTCTAACATCCTTATAAACTTTGGCTTTGAAAACTGTTTAACTTAAAATCGTCAGACTTCCTCTAAAAGCAAAGGAGAATGCTTCAAACTCAGCAGAAGCAGTTCATGACTTTAAATACAGCAAAAAAAAGATCATTAGTATGGTACATGGACTTGAAATTGGCTTTGCAGAGTGTTATTCGATTCCCTCTAGCTTAAAATCACTTCTAATTTTTTTTTGTGTGGTATGATTCCTTGGGAGAACTTTTGAATAATTCAGACTCCCAGGAAAGTTAGCAGAATGAAAGTTAGTCTGTATGAAACATGGGTCCACTATGATTGTCCTGTGCCTTAATTGATGGTTACTCCCTGGGGCTCCCAGGACAAATGCTCGGTGGCTTAGCTTATCTGGAGAGCTCAGTGAATCACAAGGATACGATACTTGGATTTACTATCATGGACAACTTTGCAATATTGCACAGGCATAGCCTATGTGTGTGTGCGTGGACATTGTTCTTTCATTTGAATAATCTGTGACTTCTGTAGTAATCTTTTGTCATACAGAGTTTGGGCTTTTTGGATTAAAACGTTCAGTTTAATGTTATGCAGCTAAGTGTTTAAGTAAGGAAATGTTTGGCATGCCAATAGAAAGATGGAAGTGGTCCTACTTCACCTTTCTGCTCTCTGGTAACTGCTTTTTGCTTTTTTTTAGTTTTATTCTAATGGGGCTACAGTAAGCTGATGAGAGTTGTTATGGAGCTGGCAATATTTGCTGGGTATTACTCTGCTGAGAGAATTGGTATAGGGAAACTATCAAAGCTTACAAAATGTCAGAAAAAAACGCTTGACTTGTTACAGAACATGTCTTAAACTTCCACAGGTGTGTATAGTTTTTGGAGAGCTAGTAGAGTTTTCCTCGTAGCTGAAGTTGCAACTTTTATTTTTGGCATAATTTTGAAACATACTGATTTGAAGCTAAAAATGAAATCTTGCAGACTTGTTTCTGTGGTTTAAGGAAGCATCAAATACAAGGAACTAGACATTGAATCATTACCTTTGAAACAATAAAGTTTTTAAAATGCATCCTCTACTAAAATGTCCCTTTGTATCTGATTTCCACCCTGTCCTGAGTCCATTTTTTTTTTTTTATCTGTCCACACTGGTTGTGTTACACCAAAACTTGTCACCTAACTTAGATACCTGCCTCTGTGTAAACACAAGTCCCCAAGTTTGTTATGCTCAATTTGCCATGATTTCTTTGTGCTTGCTACCATTTGGAGTGAAAATAGTTTTGCTCGTAGGACCTGTGCTTTATACCTCAGTTATGCTGTAAACCTGTCCATTTTCTCCCAGGTATGTTCTGCGTGTGTTAGCGTACTGCTGGGGGATAGAATTCTTTTTAGGAGTGATCCCAGGAAGAAAATTTAGGTGGTATTTCGCTGTTTGAAGTGTTTTGTAGTAATAATAACAATAACAATAATAATGACAATAATAGGAACTGTTAGTTAAGGTGTAAGTGTTGCATTGTTTGCTAGCTGTGGTGGCAGCCCTGAAAACTCTTAAAGAAAAGATCCGCCGTCTAGAGTTGGAGAAGTCACAGGCTGAAGATAATCTGTGCAGCCTCTCCATAGCAGCTGCTCAGTATAAGAAGGCCTTAGAGCATGAATCCTACAAAAAGGACACAGCACATCAAGAACTGATGCAACAGAGGAAAGGTATTTCTCTTGAGTGATAAGGTGTAGCCACAGCAACTCCAAGACTGCATAATCCGGGGACTGTTTGTTTGTTTTGGCAAACTGCTGATTAATGCACGCCCCCCCCTTTCCTTTTTGCCTCAGAGTTGGGGAGGGGCAGGAGCTTGATAATTGTGGATCAAGTTGAGATGGTTTTTTACATGTATTAACCAAGTGTTGCATAACCCATAAAGCTATTTTAAAGAATAAGCAGATTTCAGGTGGTATGTTTAACTCCTACAAAAAGCAAGCAGCTGTTTACACGTATAGCACTGCTAACTTGGGCAAAGTGAGGAGAAGGGAAGAAACCAGATTCTGGTTAGATATCTGCTGATATAAATCAAAGTAACTGCAGTGCTCACACCTTTGGAATTCAAATTAGGGACTAGCTCTGGAAAAACATTTTGATTCTCATGTCTTATATATAAAATATATTTTAACCACATGACTTGTTCAGGCTAACCAAACTTTTCTTGCATGTTTTGAAGACAGAGAATTCCTCAATTAGATGATAGACCGGGCTAAATGTATAACTCCCATTGCTCTACTGAATGTCTTTGTTTCTCTCTGTAGATGTAAGTGTGCAGTTAAATGCAGCACAGTCCCGCTGCTCCCTGCTGGAGAAACAGCTAGATTACATGAGGAAAATGGTTTCCAGCGCAGAACTGGAAAAGAAAATGGTTTTAGAACAACAGGTGAAGCTCTTTAGCATACTAACAAAGTAGTGATATAGTTAAAAAGTATAGAAATGGGTAAAATATCTAAACTTTTTTATGGCCATCATTTTTCCTCAGCTCTGTTCAGGGTGGTAGCAAACGGAAGCAATTTACTGTCTAACTGGCTGATGACAACTGTTCAATGAATTGTATGAAAAGACTCCCTCGGTGGAACTCCTAATGAACAAAACCATGCTAATACTTGCATATTTGGTAGACAAAAAGGCTGCTGGAAACTTAAGTCTTCTTTGTCTGCCTGGTATTTTTCATCACTTTGCAATTTAAAAAATATGAAATGTAAACCAGTTAAACACCTTTACTGTAGTGTGTTTGGTTTTTTGCTGTCTGAAACAATTTCAGTCAGCTGCCAACTCCATTCTTGCTTACTTTTTTCCAGGCCCAGCTTAAGAAAGAGGAAGTTCAGAACCGGTTGGAACTGCATGCAAAACTTGAAAAGCTTGAAATGCTAGAAAAAGAGTGTCTTAAACTTACTGCTACTCAGAGAATTGCAGAAGTAAGCATGCATGGAATGACAGTCTGAAAGTCATTCATTTGATTATCATTTGTATGGCATACTGTTAATAGTACTAAGTTTTGCAAAAGTTTCCTCTGTTAAAGCTAAAATCATAAAGCATACCTGACTGAATGCCACCTTGGCTTCATTTGCATGAGTCTTTTTTTCAGTCTGGGCTTTAAAAATTCCTACAGTCCTGTTTTATCCCAGATTGAAAGCTACTTCAAACTTCTGGTGCAGCATGGCAAACTGAAGTGTGACTAATCATTCTTGCCTTCAAATTCAGGACAAGATCAAACACCTGGAAGAAAAGCTTTGTAAAGAAGAGCATCAGTGTAAGCTAATGCAAGACAAAACTGCTCAGGTAAACTGAAAAGGTTTTCTTTTATCTTATTTTTTATGACTCAAGAAAGCTAGTCTCTCTGTCCAAAATACTCTTTCTTTTATTACATTTAAACTCCACATGTTTATTACCCAGGGAGAACTCCTGGAATACTAGCTACACCAGTTATAAACTACATAGTCGAAAGCTTGCCAGGTGTGTTGCATATCTCAATCAAGGAAGATTCTGCTTGTTTTTTATTAATGATACAGTTCATCAGCCTCAAAGCTGCTATAAGTGATCTGGGTAGAAAATACATTTCTAGAAAATAGATTTCTAGAGAATCTGCAACTAAATCGGATAACCTTAACTTACAGTCACTAGAAGGTGGTCATATAAGAAACTCTATACCCCACGTAAGGTTGGTTATTCTGTTTGTTTTCCTCTTTTTGTTAAGATCTGCTGAAATCTAATACATTGGACTATGCTTGGAAAAGTCTTTAATCAGTGATACTGTTACATTGTTCATTAAGTGAGAGCTTGAATAATTCATTATTCTGTGGAGCCATAATCAGTTTGTTGGGCCACCATCCATCTGAGAGGAATATTTGCCAAAGAGAGCAAAATCAAAGAAACCTTTTGTTAAAGGGGCAAAGTAGCTTCAGATATTCCAAACCTCACTTCACCGAGAAGTAGCAGCCATTTTGAAACAGTGCAGTTGTGGTGGCATTCCCTTGGGGTGGGGGGGATACAGAGCTGAAGAATAATATTGAAAGAACCTAGCCATAAGCGAAGCTGACAGCTTAAATTAATTAATCGCTGCTGTCAGTTTTTATACTTCATCCAAGGATGATGGGCTTTCATCAGTCCAGGAAGCTTGAAATAACATGCAGATGGTAGCCCAGGTATCTGACCCCCTCCAGAATCCGGCAGAATGACACAGTTGAAAACTTGCAGGTTTTTGGGTTTCTTGCTTAAACTGCTTGCTGCTGCAGAGCAGAAGGCCTAGTATGGCGATTTTATCTGCTGAGAAATATAGTAAGAATTACTTTCCCAGAGCAGATAGTCTGCCTTTAGCAGTAGTATAAACATTTGCTCAAGAAAGGACTTAGATGTAGTAAACTGAGTCCTAAACTAGTATTAGTACCATCTTAGTTCACTGCAGGATCGATTTAGGTCTGTTGGATCTGGGTTGGGAAACATAGGATGTGGGATGGTTCACTTCCTTTTGATGACAGAAAAGCCAGAATAATCTCACTTTTGTGATGGACCTCCAGCGTTGTTTAGCCAGAACTGTTACACATGCCAAAACAAAGTCCTTGTCTATGTTTAATTGGGAATAGCTATTATCCTGTTTATCATGGGCCTTTGTATCAACTTTGAACTACAGAGCGATCCAAGGGTTTGACCTCAATGTTACACAGACGGGCTCAGTTCTCTCTGGCCCCAGATTGTAAAATACAAATGTTCATATTCTTTGGATTTTATCATCAGATCCCTAGCATGCAGCAGGATTGGCTTATCTCAGTTGCTGGTTGTCAAAGTGGAAAAATACAGCTGCTGCAGCTGAATATGAAGATGAGGACTTCTAAGACAGAGCTGAAAGATCTGCCTGATACCCTGCCATCCTAGTAATCTGTTCAGTTTTTTTAAGTGTAGCTTATGCCTTCCAAGCAGGACATTAATAGTGCCCTTAATTGGTTCTCATCCATGCATGAAAGAGGGAATTAATTAGACCATGTGATTTCATACTTCCAATATTACATTAAATGGTTGTTTTCTTTTTTGCTTATTTCTACAGCTTCAAACAGGATTTGAGATAAACAGAATTTTGATGTCTTCAGTAACATCTCAAAATGAACATAAAAAGGAAAACGGGAAGAAGAAAAAAACTAAGAAGGTAACATGAAAGTTTTTATTAGCATACTGTTGCTGATAGCATCTGCCTCGCACAGGGATAGGAATTTGTGAAGAACAGTGACGTAAGAGGCACTTGATTTGTCTGCTGCACTTTACTCCATTTCCAAAGTGAAGAACAGTGCTGAATACCTCTTTTTTTTTTTTTTTTTCCTTGGGTAATTAAAACTGGGCTAGGGCTGGTAGCACCTCACTGAAAAGCTTTCCCTTACCAGCATGACAATAACCTCTGTTACAGTCTTACTGACATCCCCCATGTCCTGTTTTAGCTGCCTTTCAGTTTATCTGGCAAAATTAGTTTCCAAAGCAATTTTAACTAGGCATCATAAGATGGTGTATTTGGGGGGGATTGCTGAAATCAAGAGAATTGATTTTGCAACACATATTACAGGTCCGTCAAAATTGTGCAACTGTGGTTTTGCAAACTTAAGTAAGCAGTGTTCAATTTCTTTAATGTTAACCTGTTTGTCAAACTATCTGCTAAACACATCTGGAATAAAATTTACTTGTCTCAGCTGTTGGAAAGTCCTACTCCTTCCATATACAGGAGGGAAATTATTTTTTTTAAGCCAGAGGGAAACTGAGATGATGCATTTCACTGCTTGTTTATTTGAATTTTACTTATTTAAAAAAAAAAAAAAAAAGTTTAAGATTGTGCCGTTGGGTCAGCAGATCGAAATGTCTTGTCTTACCTTTCCTGTCTATCTTACGGCAGAGAAATCCTGCAATGAAGAAAATGCACCTTCCACAATTACATGTAAAGGCTGGTGAACTACCTTTTGTGGCTGGGAAGGTGAGTGAAACCAAATGTTCTTGCTAAATTGGCATCTACAGTTTGAATAAGTCTCTTTACTGTAATTGTTAATCACTTCTGTAAACCACTAATAATTCTGCTTTAAGTCTGTTGGTTCCAGCCATTCTGTTAGTGCAAATGTACAAAGTGTGTTGCATATTATGAAGCATCGCAATCCACATATCTCATCACGAAGCCAAGGAGGAGCTACATCTGGGATTTCAGGATGCAGTGCACTTTCAAAATCTGTATCCTCTTGTTCCACATCACCTACTGCCACCAGAAGTCTTTCGGACCTTCTGTTGCTCATACAAGATGAGCTGGGCCAAATGAGCTTGTGAGTACTCATCCCTGGTGTTATGAGTAAAAGTGGCTTCAGTGGTAGTCCTGTGAAGCTACAGGTGTGCTACAGTCAAACCTAACCTGTTTTAAGTGCAGGACTACTTGTTGACAGAATGGCCTGAGCAGGCCTGACTGGTAGGATTTTTCTCATTCAAAAAATTCTTTTCTGTCCTGGTGTTTAACTGATCTCATGAGCAAGCAGCATACTCTCAGTTGGGTTTTTCTGCTTCCACACCCTGTACTTAACCGAGCTGCTACTGAAGCTACAGCTGCAGCACATGAAAAATCTTTCAGGCCTATGCTTTTAGAAATTTTAAACATATTCTGAGATCTACAGAGAAGACCAAGAATGTTCTCCTGGAGAAGGCTGCAAAGGTGGTGTTAACATTGAGTAGGCCTGCAGCATGCAGTCAGTCTGGGTAGTAGAATAGGTTAGTACAGCTGTGGCAGGAATAGTCCTGTCACAACATCTAGCCTATTACTTTGTCCTCACTCTTTCTGTGTTCTCTCCATATGCGTGTACCTAATGGGTCTTTGTGCTGAGACAGTCTGGCGTTCATACCCTTTCCGTGTTGACAGTAGGAGAACTTGCCAGTCCTGTAAGGGGGTTGTGAAAGAGGGACAGTCTCCTGCTAGAAAACAGGCAGGGTGTGGAAGAAGCTAACGCATTAGATGGGAGTGTGTGTATCTTCCTAGCCATGCAAGTAAATGTGGATTACAACTTGTCATGTTCTTAGGCATCTTCCCATTAATGCAAGCTTGCAGAACTGTGGCCAAAGCTATGTAGCTGGTCATAGTAGACATGTTGACATAATGAGTTGTGGTTTGAACAGAGGAGGACATGTTGGCTAAACCAGTTAGGGTGTTGACACTGGTTTGAAATCCTTGATGTGGCAAAATTTAAACTGGCAACCAATCTCTTCTCTTCTTGAAAAAGCACTGTTTGTCTTAGTCATGGCAATTCAAGGACAGGCTTTTTTTTTTTTTTTTTTTTACAGCAACAACCAGTTGCTTCAATTAAATTGTCAAGGAGCAGCAGTTACTCAGAAGTCAGAAAAGAAGCTGTGACCTTTGTAAAGAGATTATTTATCTAAGAGAAGGTCTCTGTTTTTGACTAGTTCAGATATCTAGGTATCAAGTAGATCTACACAGTTTCTTTTAATTAAGAAACACACCTCACTGCAAATCTCCTTGAGTAGAATATTTTAACTTGGATTATCTGTCAGAAAAAACATAACTTAAATGTACTAGTTTAAACAATACTTTTCTGTATTACACTAACCTTTCCAAGGCTGCACTAAATTGGGCAGGAAGGGAAAATGCCGTACTGCATAGCTGCTGTTCACTTTCCAAATTCTCATTTTGCACACTATTACCCATGCAGTTGTTATGACTGTGGCAAGGGGGAGGAATAAGATGCACATCAGCTACAGATTTGGAATGAGAAAATCAGATGCACTGGAAAAACTTTTTCTTTTCTACTGTGAATGTATTCCAGATTAATGTGTATTGTGTGAGGGGGTAAATAATGCGAAATTGCTGTACTCTGGACAAAATGGCTAGCAACTCCTGCAATACACTGAAAGTATTGGAAGAAATGCTAGAGACTATATCATGAATACTTAGGGTACCATTCTTGTCTTTAACAGTGAGCATCAAGAACTTCTGAAGCAGATACAGGAGACTCAAGACTCCAAAGTTCATGAAGACCTAGAACGGGAGCTGGATTGCCTTGTAAAACGAATGGAGATTAAAGGAGAACAAATATCCAAGCTGAAAAAGCATCAGGCTACTGTAAGAATAAGATGTAAACTCTCTAGCTAGTAACACTCGAGTTGAAAGGCTGCCACAACTCTGCCTCCTGTTGTCATTAACTAGAATGTCACTGGAATGCTTAAGCCAGGATGTTCCAATGTGAGTGATTATAATTAGACTGCTAGTTCGGTGTTCTTGTACCTCCAATTCCTTCTTTTGACCAAGAAAAAGTGCTTACAGCTGGCAGCTAGGCATGTATGCTAGTGGGAAACTTCCTGCCCTGTGGCAGTTCTGCAATACAGAGCTGGGTTGCTCAGTTTGTCACTTCTGCTCACTGCCTTAAGAAAAACTGTTGAGATTTCATTCCTTTGTGTCCTGTCCCTCTGGGGAATGAGAAAGAAGCTGTAATTCCTGTACAGACTGGATTAAATGTCTTTCGTATTACTGAAATATTGAAGCTTTTTATTAACTAAATAGTCTGTTGACCACAACTTCTCCAAAGTCATAGCCAGACAAGCCTTTCAGTTTTGTTTAACCCCGAACCTGTACGCATTCTGTCAGTATTTGGTTTGGAGCCATAGATAACAGCTTTTCATATATGCACATATAAAATCACTCTTCTGTAGATGAACAGCTTAGCCCTTTTGTAGCAATTTGGTTTGGAACATATTATAAAAAATGCAATCCATAGTTCTGTCTCATGATAGTTTTCTTCATCTTATGTTTCAGGATAGACTCACTTAAGAACTTTGCTTATACAGGAAACAAAACAAAACTGTGTGAGACCTTATGAAAGGGGGAGGTGATTGTTAATTTAAATCTGACCAATTTTATTCACGTTCATTCTTTGATAGATTTTACTCACTCAAACCTTTTATTGTCCACGTAATTGCAAGCAAAAGGTGCTTATGTCAAAATAGAATTGTCAGTGTTGTGTGTTAGCAATATGGACAAAGGACGTGGACTGTTGAGACGTTGCCAAGGGAGGCAGTGAGGACAACTGTTCTTTGGATAAATCTGTTACATTCTTGAAGAGACAACAATTATGGTGTTATTCCTTGCCTCAGAATCTTGCTGACTTCATCCTGCAGGAACCTTAGACAAAGGACAACAACTGCACCTTTGTTTCTTCCTTTTCCATATCTGTATGACCGCAGTCTGCCTTCATTCTGGGATGATGAGAAGAGGAATGGCACATACAATGTGGTGCAACCTTGTTGTCCTCCTTGCCTATTATCAGGGTGCAGATCTGCTGGCAAGTCATCTGTGCTCTGGTACAGCCTTATCAGAGCACGTACCTTAGGGTCATGATGCAAATAGCACATTCTTTGTGTTTGTCTGTCTGATTACTGTCCATCATGCCCTGGTTATCAATACAGGCCAGTCCTGTAACCCTTGGCCTATATCGTTTTTCTGGTGCTTTTGCACAAAGACATTTCTATTTGTAGAAATCTTAATATTTCTGATGCATATTTCTGCTTTTAGAACCCGTCACACTAAAAATGCTGTAGTCATCTCTGTGTTTCACAGTTAATAGTATGTTCTAGAATGCAATTAAAGTTAATTATTTTTAGAAATGGACTTAAAGCCTAAATTGGCATATGGAATCCTTCCAGCCTAATTTTATCTTTGGGAGTGACCTTTTCATGCCAAGTGCAAGTCAAGACTTATTGTTTGACATTTTAAAAAATATTCTTTAGCAAGCAACCGTATTTATTCTGTTTTCCAGTTTTGTTATGAGGCTTCAGAGTAAACTGCTTAGATACAGTAACCAATAATAAACAGTATACATTTTACAGGTTTGTTGGAGGATTTTTATTTGGTTGGGGTAGTACAATCTGAAATGGAAAAAGACCATTGTAAATATAAATTGGTAACAGATGATATTCTGTCTCTCTCAAGCAAGCGTTTTTACCTTAGGGAGTGATGGGGTTCAACAACCTGTTGAGTGTGGGTGAGGTCAGTTTTCTGTAATGCTTTCTGTGTGGGCGAGGTCAGTTTTCTGTAGTGTTTTCTGTTACAGCGAGACAGCTATGCAAGAGTAGTAGGTTTTAACTTTTTTTTTTTTTTAAACGTCCTTTAGACATCTTTAGTTTGGAGTTTGGTAGAAGTCCAGTAAGCTCTACAGCTGTAGGTCTTCTGAGTATGTAACATTCTGATTAGTAATCTTTTTTCCTAGGTGCAGAAATTAAAGAGAAAAACTCAGAAATTGAAGCAAGGGGCAGCTCATATCAAACTGAAGTGTGGTGACCAAAAGGAAGCAAAGGAGATTGCAGTCACTGTAAGGGAATGTACGTCTAAATCTTGTCCCGGGCAGAAAAGCAGAAGCTCTCTTCAGCTGCTAAAAAACGTGCAGAAACTTCAGTCAACACTGAAAAAAGATGATATCATGTGGGAACAACAGTTCTGAAGTTTACTGTGTTAGAAGTTTTGAAGTTGTCTGACAGCTAGTAAATTTTTAATTTCACAAAATACCTTTTAAAAATAACATCAATATAGCATTTTACATTCTAAACTGTCTACTCACTGCTAGATCAGTTTGTTCACCTCAGAATTAACTTTCATGTAGGGTAGCTATAATTCAACTACACTGGCTTGTAATAAAGTGTTTTCATGGATTGATGACTTACTTGTTAACTTGTCAAATAAAATTTTATACCTTTTTTACACTTAAAATAGTATGAGATCTTTGGTGTCCTCTTCCCCCTGCTGCCAAGGAGATACTTAGAGCTTGATTTTCCAGAATGACTTGGGCTAGTGATTCTGCTCAAATAAACACAGTGGTTTTCCTTTTCTCTAATAACTGAAGATTCAGATCCTTGCAACTGAGGCACAAGAAGAGGTACTGTCTCTTATTTGTCTAGTTTTTCATTATTATTATTACTCTATAAGCTTTATTGGCAGTCTTAGTATTAGGGACTAATACTATGTATGTACAGTAAAAGACGTAACAGTGACTTCAAATTGACACTGGTTATTTAGTTGCAATAAATTCTTGTCTTGAGGTTACTGACTGGTATTGATTTTCCTGAGTGTTTGCATATGTCAGAAAAAAACAGCTTCGTTGGGATGTATCAGTGAAGTTCTGCTGTAGATCTCTGGTATAAAGAGAATGTAGTGCTCTTCTCAAGCCCCTGTGCAAGTATGAATAAAAATTGGAGGCATGCTCTGTTGTCAACAGTTTTGAATAAAGGCTAGCAATGATGTATGGTCTTAATGGAAAGCTGGAAATCCTTTCAAGAGAAAGGATTAGGAAAATTTTCAGACAATTAATTTAAATTTAGAATAAACTGTTACAATCTTTGACAGGACTTACGTGTGTGAGCTTTTGGGGGTGAGAGGGGGAGTTTATATGTACTAAACATCTTTATCAGGACTGTGGAAGACCAGGTTGTTCAATCCTTCTTACTTATGGATTATCTCTGGCTTAGAAAAGCATGTTGTGTGCTTAAAAACACTTAAATACAGTTCTCAACATGGTATTTTCCTGGTATAGATAGTGTTTCTGAGGTAGGTTTATGCATTTCTGGACACTGGAATTGCTGATACCAGAGACAAAAGAAAAGTAAGCATTTCTGCTATTAACGTTTTCAGATTGTAGGTATCCTGCTGCCACAAGATAAGCCTTTGCCATTCCTAGGGGTAGTTAAATAATCTCTGAAGCTCTGTACCCGCATATGAGAGAGCAAGTGAGAAGGGCCTTACCAAGCCCTATGGAGCCTAAAGCATTATATTTCGTCTGGAGGTCCAGCCCTAGACAAAAACCGTCGGGCGTTGTACTGGGAGAGAAAAATTGCCAGCAATTTGCCCCAAGTGCATAGAAACGGGTAGAAAGGCTTTGCATGGCGGCAACCACGGGAGCGAGAGCAAGCAGCACCCTGGGCTTGCGGCTGACGGCCGAGAGGCCATCGCAGCTCCTATAGCTTGGGGTTGCTATAGGGACAGCTGGGCCTGCCCAGGCAGGGAGCCTGCACGTCAACCACCTGCTCCCTCTGTGCCTTGACCTGGTATTTTTGTTGACCACAGAAACCCGGGAAGAGGGGGCCATTTTGGTGCTGGAGCTGGAGAAGGAGGGCCCTGGCTTCTTTCTTGGAGGAGGTGGAGGACAGCAGCTTTGGGTCGGTCAGCCAGGTACTGGCTGGGGCAGTGCTTAAACGATGGGCGCATTGAACAGTCGGTCTTCAAAATGTGCGTGCCAACAGGGACTGTCCAGTCCCAGAATAAAACTGCTCAGTTTGCCTTTCTGTGGGGCGAGTGGCTGGAGGGAAGGGGAAAACTGCCGAACCCGGTCCTGTCGGTAGCTGCGTGTTTCGCACCTCTGCCTGCTTCGGAGGGGGACGGGGAGCTGAAAAAGCTGCCTTGCTGTCCCAGCCTGGAGCTGGGATTCGAGAGGGGAAAATAGGAATATAGGATATGAGAGCTTACATTAGTTGACGGTGGTATATCACTTGCATTTCAACTTGGAAGATTTTAATTAGATTTTAAAAATTCTTTTGTGCTGCTTTTTTTCTGGAGCTTTTATTTCTCTAGCGCATGTGTTTTCACACACTAAAGCAAAGCAGATGCGCTTCAGCATGGGCTGAGGGAGTCAAACCCAGATACAAAGGAAGTGTATCCCAAACAAGTTTTCTTGCTTGAAGAAACACAGGGAATTTGTTTGTAGATTGTATCTCAGTGTGGGGGTAGGGTAGGAGATCAGCTTATGTGTTTATTTATTAGCATATTCACAGTTTGAGGCAACTGTCAATCGCATAAGTCTTCAAAGAAAGATATAGCCATGAATAATTCTGCAGAAACCGCAGTGGTGAAGTTAGCCTTGTGCACAAGCGTTGGCAAGGTTCAGCTCTGAGAGAATTAGGCAGGCAGATCGCAATGAGTTTTGCTGGGATCTGAATGCTACACGTCTTATGCTCCAAAAAAGTTCTGGCCTGGAACTCCATAAACATACATTTGGAGAAAGCACAGTGGTCAGAGCAGTCATCTTCACAAGAACAATATGTTTTGGCTTAATAACTGCTTACTCTACTCTTTTACAGATCCTTGTTTTGATTTATATCTTGCATGGTTTTGTTTGTCTTCTCAGATGAAACTGTATATTTCTTTTTTTTTTTCCTGAATGTTTTGAATCTAGCTATAAAGGGCAACAGACAAAACCACGCAATGACCCCAAAAAAAGACTAATTGGTTTATTTACTCAAAATCCAGGTTCTTTTACGCTGAGTTATGCAAAATTGCCACAACAGGTTTTGTTAGTATTTGAATCTAGGGTCATATTTTATGGCTAGGCATTAAGGAAATTGGACAAAAGATGTAGGTCAAACAGTATAATTAAAAATACAGACCAGCAAATTGTATCCAACAATAGTTCACTTTCCTGCTGCTAATGAAATATGCTAGCACAAATTAATGGCTTGTTACTTAAGCCTGCTGGAAAGACTTTGTCCTAGTACAAAAGGCATTCAGTTTGAGCATGTGTGTTACAATCTTCTAACCAGCAAAGCTGGAGGTTGGACATAGCTATAAATCCAGTGTGTTCTGGGAATAGAGGCTGGCAAAAACACTCCTAGCAAAATAATCAGGGCAGGATCTCGCTGGGATTTGGACACTGGCTAACGTAACTAAGTGCAGATGTTTATGTGGACCGAAAGACATTCCCAGAATAAGAATACTGTACAAACACATGATGATTTTCATAGCAGAAAAAAACAAGGAAGTGGGGATAATAAAACATATGCTCTTATTTCTGATGAAGCATTTTCTGGTTTCCTTGGCTTGCCTGTACTGAAGTGGGCAAGGCTGCCTCTACAGTATCCCCTGCTGGGGCCTGTTGAAGCTTCTGCAAGTCTCCCTGGGTTCCCTGTGTGGGTCCCGTAGTCTCTCTTCCGTCAGCGGAGAGGAGCAAGCGTTTCTGAAAGTGTGCTGTATCATACCCTAAGGTAACAGCTAAAATAAGTCAGACAAATCTTATCCCAAATGCCTGGTTCTCTTTTCCGATTACAAAGGGTGACTGGTGAACTTAAATGAAGATATTTATATTGTACAAAGAGTTTGGCCAGATAAATTCTGATGAAATGTGGAGCTCTTTCCTCTGATTTCTGAGGATGCTGGATTCGTTCTTCAAAATCTTCAGAAGTACTGGGTAAGTCCTGGGCTGCTGACAGCCTGGGAATCCTGTGCATTGCCCTGCATACAACCATTTTTCCTCCTGTTCTCGTGCATTGGCCTAAATGTGAGTGCCTGTCCTGAGAACACGCTTACCATAACTTCCCCACGATGAGTAGTCTCACTGATCCACAACTTGGAAACCGGGGACTCAGTGCTCTCTGGTTCAGGAAGACACAGACTACTATAGGATTTTATTTTGCTGGTACTTAAGATAGCTTCTTTTTGCAACCTGAATTTGTTTATGGGCAGCTTTACTGTTGTGCCAAAAGTTTTGCTTTATACCCAGAAATGATAATTTATATTCCCTTTAGACTTGCAGCCATATCTGAATTATTTTTATCTGATCTACACTGCCTGCATAGTGGCATCAATTCCTTTCTCTTGGTTCGTTCTTACTTATATAGCTGAAGAACTGCCTACTCTTTATTTTCCTTAGCAATTTTTAATTTAGCTGGTATTTCTTGCTTTAGTTCTGGGCGTCTCAGCCCTCTGATTTTTTGGTATTTTTTTCTTTTTTTTTTTTTTTTGTTTTTACCTGTTTTGGTTCTCTGCCTACTCTTGATGCCTTTTTGGTCAGCTCCACCATCCTTCCTTCCAAACTATTCCCCCTGCTTTTATTTTGAGGCCAAGTTCCAATTAGCTTTTTACCATTGATTTAAACATTCTCCAGCTTCTCCAGTGTTAAAATCTTTGAGGTATTAGTTGCATGAGTTTTCTAATTACTTTTATTAATTTCTCTAAATTAGCCCTTTTGGACTTCAACTCTTTACATACACATCTGGTTTTATTCTTCCATTCTAACCCAGATTATGATAGCTTCTCTAATGTTCTCACCGCTTGCCAAAACTGTCTGAAATACCATCTAGGTTCAGTGAGTAATTGCAGACATTTGTAGAGCATGGCAGGTTTATGATTTTTTAGTACTAATCTAGTTAAAATCTTTATCTTCATTCCCCAAAGTAAGTAAATCTAATGCAAAAAGATTTCTTTTGACCTTTTACCTGTGCTAGCCATTCATACATGTCAATCCATTAAAATACCAGACTACCCCATCACCTTTACTGTAAGTTCAGTCTTTCCAAAGCATCTCATATCCTGCTGCCAAGGTGTGTTTGCTCTTCCACCTTGTTTATATTATGCTTATAGTGTCAGCTTTCAGTCTTGCGTTGCTAGTTCAAGCTCCAACCTAGGCATCTGTTTGTAGTGTATGAATATACTGGCTGCTTCTCATTGATTTCACCCAGATCCCTGGCTGGGTTTGGTAAAATCTTTTAGTCTGATTTTTTAAGGTAACGCTTCCTTCCTCATTTTAGTCATCCTGTCCCCTGGTGTTTCTTTCTATCCTTTTTTACCTGAATTTCCTCTTCTCTCAGCTGTGAAATTCAGGTGCAGAGATCTGAATTCTCTGATTCCTTCCCACAGTTGCTTAGTTTGCAGCTTTTATTATCAGCAAGACCAGTCCCATAACATGGGACAAGGATTTGTCCAAGACCTTAGGATACCACCAACCAAGAAGAGCCCCCAAAAGGTACATCCTACACTGCTGTATTCAGCCTCTTGATCATCTCCCGTGTTTGTCAAGTCAAACCTGTGACTAGACCAACAGCTGTTATCTTTCAGTGGTCTCTCATGCAAGAAAAAAAGAGAAACTATGTGCCCTGAGCAGCCAGGTTCTGAAAACCATTGAGAAATAGATGGTACAGATGGTTGCTTTGTGACTGATTACAAATGAAGTAGCCTCTTCTTCCCCTTTGCCCCCAAGAAAGAAACCCCAAATCTTTCCGCAATGACTTGCTTCTTCCCTTAAAAAGACAATTACCTTTTTTTGCTTTCTGATTGATTATGTCCCTCACTGGCAAGTGAATAGAATAACTGTAATTCCAGATGTTGGGAAGAGAGCATGGCTACTTCAGAAATTCTCACAAAGCAAGTGTTTCCCGTTAGAACTGAGTGACTTTGGTATTAGTGGATTATTTGCAGACGGTACATTTGTCAGAAAGTGGCATTTCTTCCAAATTCTCTCATTCCTTGTATTCTGGTCAACTTCAAGTAATAGTTTCAGGTGAGAGAAGCGGGGAGAAAATAGATTTTGAATGTCAGTGTATTTAGTTTCAGAAAAAAATGAAAGCAAAAAGTTTCAATTCTTCTTTTGTAAAATGTTTTGATTCAGCGCATCACATTTCATGTTTAATTACCTAAAATTTCTGAAGTGTCCTTAAGAAACTGGGTGGAGGAGGGAGGAGGTGGCATTTGTTAGTGGGATGCAGGAAGATACTTGAAAATTTTTGGCCCAAAATAGTTTTTCTCCTGTTTTCCATTGGCAATCAAAATGGGAAAAATCACATTCACCCAGTTCTGTTCCTGATATTAAAAGAAAAGTCTTCTTGTCAAAGGAGATGCTGAATAAACAATTCTTTAATGAAGTTGCTACATATTATATATTGTCTATATAGGAGTGGGAATTTGTGCTTTTTACCTGGACAGTTCCCCAGGTTCTGAGTTCACAAGTGATTTGATCTTAAGAAAGGAGCTTCGCGACTGCTTTGTCTTTTGGTCTGCCGAACTGAAATAGGCAAAATGGATGAAGTATACCAGATCTCTTCTACTGAGAGGGTCCAGCAGCTGGAGCAAGAACTAGCAGCACAGCTGGCAGAGCTGAAGGCAGAAATAGAAGGCGACAGGATACTCCAGGGAATACCCAGTAGGGCATACAGGTAACAAGAGTTTCCTGGGGAATGAGGGAGAGAGTGAGATTCTAGCAATGCATCGTATCTCTTTTTGGGATTTTTTGGTCATGATACAAAAGTCATGTGTCTATATAACTGTTCAATTTCGAGACCTGAATACACACATGGGAGCCAGGAACAGCAGCTTTTTCATTGTGTGTCTACCACAGAATTATGGTTAAAACGGAAGAGAATGTCAAAACATAAACTGAATTGATTTCATATTGTGTATTGCAAACAAAACTTTAAATCCCCCTAGCATGTCAAGTGTTTCCTTCTTACAGTGAAGAGGAATTAGCTTCAAACATAGCGCTGGGATGTATAAACAGAATGGTCACATCTAAGACAGCCACTCTTACTTTCCTCAGTGATGATGAGATGCAAGCTATGACAATGTACCCAGGTTTGGCATTGTGCTTCAAGGAAGCTGTAGACCACCGGGAGAATATGTGGAGGAAAACAGAGGTGAAGAACACTCGACTAGGACACTTGAGACAAAAAGAAAGGAGCTGGACTTATGTTTCCACTCCATTTTCTCTAGGTTAGAAGTCTTCAGACACATGGGAGATTGCTGTAAAGATGAAGGGAACAAACTTCTGTTTGCATTTATGAATAGGACAGAAACTAAGGGGCTGAAATTCAAACTTTCCAACGATTGTGTTGGATTGTAGACACTGATATCTGGACTGGGAGGTTGCTGACCATCCTTGATTGGAGGTCCCTAAGAAGAGGATAGACAAACACCTTTAGGGAACAGATTTACTTTTCCCTGCCTTAGAGCAGTGGAAATGGTAGACGATCACAAAACCCCTCCCGATCCTACCTCTTTAGGGCTCTAAAGTGTTCCAGCAGAGTTTCCCATGCATTGCTTTTGGACAAGACTCAGGAGCTCTTTTTTTTAATGGTCCAGTTTTCACCTATGTTTTTTTATTTGCATGCATTCCTTTTATTCAGTTAAATTAAAAAATTGTAATGTATGCTTGCTGTAAGTATATGGATACATGAGAATTAAAAACCAGTTCTCCTCCAGAAGTTTTCTCAGCCCCTCCTTCTGTGATATGGGCATATTAGGAAGGAAGTTGTCTAAATTGTGAAGGATGCTTGTCAAGGAGCTCTGCTGCATAGTTGTGGGTTGCAATATGGGCCCATAGAATTGACAAGCATCCAGATGGACTTTTGAAGAGCTTTGAATAAAAAATGGAGGTGGAAGAAAACAGTTTGCCAAAAAATGTCTGCTAATGAAATAAATTCTGCTGCTTTAATATAGGGTTTTCATGCCATTAAACTTGCTTACTGTTAACTTCACCATCTGAGTCGTGTTGGGCCTGACAAATGTTTGGTTTACACCAGCTTGTATGTAACAACCTGTTGAACAATTTTTTATTTTTTTTCCCTGCAGTTCTGTTCCAGTTCCAAAGGATGCATCTTATTTCAGAAAAGAAAGGGAGGTAACACTGAAGAAAGGCTTACAGGTAGGCAGCTAAAATGTACACTGGCTTAAAAAAGATTTCTTTGCTCTTTACCCAGTAGTAAGTGAAAATTAAAATCAGAGAAAGTGATATGTTTTTTGGAATCTGGACCTGTAAAGGCAGAATGGGAAGGGTCATAACGTTGTTTGCACAGTAGTAAAACAGCATAACCTTTCTTTTACCTGAATAATAATGTGAACCTGGCCCTGCAGCGTTTATGTGACAACTCCTAATGAAATTCAAAGTTAAACATTTTTCTGTATTTACCACTTTCTTTTTCATATCCTGAAAAAGAGATGCAGTCAACGTGTGCTCCGTTTGCAGGTGGCAGAAGCAAAACCTCTTGTTATTCAGGCTGATGTCGTGCAGAGGGAGTTAGAGAGCTGCTGGAGAAGGGAGCATACAGCAGCAAACTTGCCTCTGCTGCTGCACCAGGTAGGGCTCCCGCTTGCTGCCAAGATCCAGGAGCTTTCCTCTGGCCCAGCAGGTTGCACTGTGCACATTTTAAAATAAAAACAGTATGAAACTCCTTCCTGAGAACGGGCACGAAAATGTTAGTGCCTGCAGTTTCCTTGTACGGTACGAAAATTTCCTCCTCTTCTCTTTTTTGAAGAGGACAGGAATCTAAGCCAGGTCAGATGGGCTGCGACAAGGTCCTCCTCGTTCCCTGATGCTTTTGTGCTGCTCTACTACGTCTGTGTTGTCGGTTATTTTTATTTTCATTTTTTAAGTGGAGTTCAAATTTCTAGGTCCAGTGGACTGAATTCTGCCATTTTCCTTGTATTAACTGCTTTTTTTTTATTCCCACACTAACGTTTCCACTGGGACAACTTAGGGGAAGTACCCTTCTTGGATAAATATAACAGCACAGTGGTCTTTGGTGACTGATTAGCTGTTGTTTTGGTGTTATTCTCTGATGCTAATGATGATCTATATACTGCTTAAGTTTCCTATAATGTTAAGCTGCTGTTGTTTAGAAATGTGTGATTTGCTGGTTATTTCTGATTTTATTCAGGTTTTTTACATACAGAATTACTCAACTAGTCCAGAGTAAATATTTGCACATGCTTAGATGGAAGAGGTTTTGTACGCACAGCAGTGTTATTGAACAGCTTTATCCTCTCTATCAGGTAGGAGCCAAAACGTAGGATTTAACATGTATGTATCTTGCACAGTAGCTGTTCATGAAAAACAAAATGTTAGCAGTGGCTTTTTTTCCACCAAAATAAAAAGCTATTAACATTAAGCGTAATTTGCCTCTGGACATTGACTCTCAGCTGTCTGCTTATGGTCAGTATTAGGTGCTCAGAGACTTTCACTATTTGGACTGAAATTCCCTTTTCCTCATTGGGTTGGAAATACCATTCGTAAGCATTTAGGAAGGAAATAAACCTTTGAGATTACTCTCAAACTAGGATTCCTCATGCAATGGCCTTCCAGCTAATCAGGGACGAAGATGCGGAAATGCAAAAATGACGGTGTCTCTTTTAGGTACATAAACAGAAGCAAATTAGTCACATCATGGAGGAATACAACGATGTGGTTCAGAGGGCTGCAAGACTTTCAGCAGCAAGGGAAAGTTTCCTGACAGGAAAGAAAATTCCGGTGAATGTGGTGACACAGGAAGATCTGATGATTTACGCCCGGTGGTTACTGTGTCACCTGCACTCTCTGACGGGCATTCACCGTTTTCTACAGGTAAGACAAGCATTTTTTGAACAGTGAAGTATAATTATGAAGCATTCAAGTCTTGGATAAGAAAGTAAACTGAGGAAGATCAAATTCAATGTGAAAGAAATCTAGAGGTTTGTAGGCAATGAGCTAGACTGCGTACATATGACTTTCAATTCTTTTAGCAGATTGATTTTAGTAGAAAGGAAATAGTACGATGATGAAGCTGAATTTGGGTAAGTGGAATAATGAGCTCCCTGAGTGCAGCGTAGATAGTGTTGGGCTGCCTGGATTTGAGAAGATCCAGGATGAGAAGGAGAAAGCTTGGAGAGGCTTTTTTTCTCTGTTATTACTGTGATGATGTTTTGATAGAGCAGGACACTCTCAAGGGGCTGAGTCATCTCAATGAATAGTCTGTAGACTTGAGGAGTATTTGTTTGTTTAAGCACCAACTTTCGAAAACAAATCTGAATACTTCCTTACTTTATCTAGTTTCTTTAATGATTTTATTATATGAGTGCTACAAGTCATTGAGAGTGAATAACTTCTGGAATTATACACACTGGATAACTATGGTTGTTTTTTTCTCTTTTGTGTTTTATTTTATTACTAAATTTGCAACTGAGTAGTTTGTATGCTTTCTAAATGACTGAGAATAACAACAGATATGTTCTTAACTCCAGGTTCTCCAGCATTTGCCTATTTCTCACAGAATGAATGTGGCTGATGAGAAATGTCCTGATGTGGTCCAAGACAACTGGGAGAAATTAAGAAGTGCTTTTGGCAAGAATTCAGATATTTTTAATATTGTTGTGTTTCCCTTTTCAAGAGTTTTAAGAAGAAATGATGAGAAATTATCAGCTTTCCTTTAAAACCACAAGTCCTACAGATGATGCATTTGTTGATGTATATTCTTTAAGAAAGGTCAACAGTGCAAATGTTGCCATCCTTGGTTTGTATGCTTGAGAAATTTGGAGTGTGGCTTTTAAAGTCAGCAAGAATCCTGGAAATCTGGTGTCCAAACTCCAGAGTGGAGCCCAGAATCTGCAGCAGTCACTCCTCTGGCCTTACTGTGCACTGGGCTGCAGAAACAGGCGGTTCAGAAGGGTGCTTGTGGGATCAACTTGGTGGAGAATCTGGGATGTTGTCCCAATTATGCCAAACCCTGAAACTCACCCTTCCAACTTTCTGCAAGAATATAATTTAAAATATTTCTGTGGGTGGCCTGTTTCTGGAGAAACTAAGAGAAGAGAGCTATTGGTCTAAGACTTATACTGAAGTATCTCTAGAAAAATCTCCTTGTGGTTATTTTCAAGTTCTCTTACCTTTTGAAGGAAAGGAGGAAGTGATGTTGCTTATGTGGAGTTACCTGTGTGCCCTAGTTTTGGCTGGGAGAGAGGTAATTTTTGTCCTAGTAGCTGGTATGGTGCTGTGGTTTGGATTCAGGATGAGAATAATGTTGATGGCACACTGGTGTTTTAGTTGTTGCTAAGTAGTGCTTACACTAGTCAAGGACTTTTCAGCTTCCCATGCTCTGCCCGGTGCACAAGAAGCTGGGAGGGGGCACAGCCAGGGGGGCTGACCCAGACTGGCCAAAGGGCTATGCTGTACCATATGATGTCATGCCCAGTATATAAACTGGGGGGAGTTGGCTGGGGGCAGTGATCAGTGCTTGGGGCTGGGCTGGGCATCGGTCAGCAGGTGACGTGTCCTATTAAACTGTCTTTATCTTAACTCAAAAGTTTTATCACTTTCACCCTTCTGATTCTCTCCCCCGTCCCACCGTGGGGGGAGTGAGTGAGCGGCTGTGTGGTGTTAGTTGCTGGCTGGGGTTAAACCACAACACGGTGTGAATGGTACTTAGCAAGCAAAGCAGCATTCCTGTTGCAGAGTGTTTAAATCTTATGATTTAACCCCTGCTTTTACAGACAGAGTAGGAACAGTGTGGAACTGTAGGAGCTCGCAGGATTGTCTCTGGAAAAGCACAACCCCTCTCTCCTGGGGACTAGGCAGGGTATACACCTCCTGCTTGCAGTCAAGAAGTGGGTTGGCCAGAGTGGAGGAAAAAAAAGGGGCTGTGACTTGTCCTCCCTGTCTCCTTTCTCCACTGAAGACCTCTGCCACAGTGGGTGTACCTGTGGGTCTGCACGGGGCAGCAGGGCACAGCCCTGGCCTGGAGTGGCCCAGCCAGTGACAACTGATTGAGAACAGTGCTAAGGAAAGTGCAGATTTACCTGGGACAGATAAGGGGCCTTTAGTCCCTAGTGGTCTAACTAAGCCCTGACTGGTCGAACTGGCTGTACTGGTGCAGCCCTCTTTCACGCCTTAGGCCCAAGGAGGTCTCAGGCACGGCATGCTGGGGAGATACGGCAGCACTGCCCCAGCAGTACAGCGCTACTGGTGTTAAGGTAAAAGGAGAGGAGAGTTAAACTCTTCTCTCCAAACTAAGCCCCTTGAACAGGCCAACGTTTCTCTCATATGAGCAGGATAGGAGAGGGAGGGATGGTCTGTGATCTTGGACGCAGTGGGCTAATAATGTACGGAGAAGGGCGCAAGACCTACAGCGTTATAGAGCTCACCCGAGCTGTTCATTTTGCCATGGAGTAGACCCTTATTGGTATTAAAAAACAACTCAGAAGTGCTCTAGCTCATTTTGATCTTCAGTATCTAGTTATCTAATATTTGAGGAACTGTATCATATTACCATCATAAGCTTCATTCATCTCCTATCTAGATCTGAGCTTCATAGATGAAACAACAGAATGATTAAAAACAAAGCTGAAGTAAAGCGTGGAATAGAAACACAGATGGCCTTTTATTGCTGAAACAATGAGATAATAAATTAGATTACATGTAGTTCCACTAAACCCCAAGAGTTTTGCTGAACTTTAGCAAACTGTAACTTACCTATTAGCATCTTTGCATGTATCAGCAGTACCCATCAGCACTGGGTAAAGGAGAATCAGTTGATACTTATTTGGACTTTCAAAAATCTTTGGAAAAGAAGGAGCAGATAAAGTGCTGCTGTTTGTCATGGCTTGGCCTGAGACAAAAAAAAAAGCAATTGGAATAATGTCCACATTTCTGTACAGAAAGATGATGGCATGGGGCAAACTAAGATTCTATATAAAAACCAGTGTTAAACATACTTGTCAAAGACCTGAAAAAAGAGAAAAATAGATGACAAAACTTAGGGGAACACAGCTGTTTTGGCTGTTCAAGGATGAAGGAATACCGATACCCTCCAAAGCCTTGAGCAAGCCTGAAATGAAGTAAAGAAGGAGGAGAAAACATTTCAGTTCTTCTAAAAATGGGTGCTGTGTTGCCAACAGACTCTTCAACATTGACACCAGGCCAAACTCAGCCATCCCCAGTACACCCTTGTTTCAGAAGTTTGCGATAGCAGCATCATGCCAGAATCAAATACCGCAGGAGTGATAACCCTGAAATAGTAACATACTTAAAGTGCTTGTGGCATGTGAAGGTTTGGGAGGGGTGTGTGTGAGAAGAATGTTGTACACCCCTGAGCCACGACTCTGTTCAGGCAGTAGGATTTGTTATTGGCATCCTTTCCATGCTGGAAGATAGGCACTCCTCCAAAGACTGTGGAGGTGCCCTGACCTGCAAAAGCTGTTAGTCTTTCGGGGTCTGGTGGAAGGCCCTTTCTTAAATGGAAAATGAAAATAATAAAAATCCATACAATGTGGGTCGTCCCCCCCATCACATTCCATTCTCTGATGTACTTCTGCTTCGAGATAAAAAAAAGGGGAATTACATCATTACATGGATGCAAAGCAAAAGGCACCGACAGCATTGCTTACAGCCATGTTGCTTAAAATGTTGATGTTCTCCAGCTGGTCTGATGATGGCTTTTTTGCAGAATCCTGCCACAAGGACACTGGATTCACTTTGCCCTGGCACAGCACTGAAACTGGGGACCTGAAACCTCAGCTCCAGCTTCTGCTTTCTCATTTTCATATTGACTACAACCTTAAGGATCTCAAGAACTCAGCTGATGAGATGGAGCTCTTTTCCCCGGTAGCTGAAACGCACTTCTTGATACTAAAGAAAAAAAAAAAAGGGAAAAAAAAAAGTCTTTAAAAGTATGGAAGGAAGTTCCATTTATTAGAAGTCAGTGTTTTGCGTCACAGAAAAACAAGATTGTGGGCATTTTCGCTCTTGACAGGAAGCAGCAGAAAGGCCCGGCTCGTTCTCACTAACCTATAGTAACTGCTGACATCTGTATTTTCAGCAGCATGGCTCTGAGTCCGTACTTTTGTTCTCCCAGCTCTCACCCATGCTTTTTGTGCCTTTTTTCTCGAGTTTTCCTGGCCTTGTTTGGTGTCTCCCCGAGCTGTGGTATTTCCACTAGAGGTCGGCTGCGACACACCATTGCCCAGGACCTCGCCAAGCCTCCGCAGCTCAGGGGTTACCAGCAGGAAAGCTCTGGTTTTCGTCTTTTCTGTCATCCAAAAGGCAAAAACCAAGTGAAAATCTCCACCATGTGTCTGGGGGCCAAAAGAGACGCATAACTATTAAAGGTAAATAACATACTGCTTTTAAATACATGGCTTGCCTTACAAATCGCACCTTGTATGAGAGCAGGTGGTACAGCTGAAAAAAAGGTTTGATTGCATAAGCTGGTCTGTAAGGCCCTCATCAAATTAACATTTGACGACTTCAGCTGAACTCACTGAACTACCTGAGATAAGCACCGGCAGAGCTGTTTACACAACTAGGCAATGATGTATATTATCTTCATTGTAGGCTGGCAGCGGCTTATTAATTTTTGAATAGCATTTTCAAAGTACATCTTCTAGGCTAATGCTATTCCTACCAAAGCCGGTGATAATAAATTTGCTGTTGACTTCGACTGAAAGACAGTGTTTTTGAAAATCCTGGTCTTCTTTTTGGAGGCTCCAGAGTTAACAGCAGGGACTTTCACTGTGTCTGCTGGAAAGGAAAGAAAACAAAACACAGGACCAGAATGTCTCCTGTGTCACTTTATCACTCCATTTATTTATGTTTTTTTGGCTGATAGTATGCAGTATTACTTTGCTATAGGATTTAATATCTGGCTTGGGAAATTTATAACAGTACTATTTCCTTTTATGCTTTAGGTTGTCCAAAAATTTAGAAGCATCTTCTGCAAACAGCAGACGATGAGGACATTTCCAGGTTATGACACAGAGGTTTCTCGGTCAGAGAACTGGGGTGTGCGAGATCCAGCCAGGGCTTTGAAGAAGAGAGCCAACTGGATCCCTTTTTTAAAGGTAATTATAAGGAACTTTCCTTTTTCAGTTGTGTTAGTCCTAAGCAGTCTTCAGGTTGTACCAAAATACGTTTTAAAAATTAAAGTCTAAAATGTTTCTTTTGACAAATAAAGTGATGATTTTTTTAATAATTCAGGCCTTATCAAACCACTATATTTCTGTATAGTCAAGAGCCCTTTTTATGTCTGTTGAAAATAAAAGGTGAATGTATTGCACTTCCTTTACTAAATATTGCTTCCTATACCAAAAACATGTAGCAATATTCCTAAGTTTTGTGGTTACTTTTATGTCAACCAGATTAAGCCTCAAGTAGATCCCTGGCAGCAAAAGCTTTTGATAAAACTGAAACAATGGAAAAAAGTGGATAAGCTGATGGACCTTCATTCAAAATTTGTAGAGGTAATATAACTTGAGTGATTTAAAGTGATTTTAATTTATTTATTGGACACTTCCAGGGAAATTGAAATCTCTAGTTAAACGTTACCTCAGGTTTATGTATCATGTGTATATGCCTGAATTCATTAAAGACCCATTACTAAGGCATTACAGAGATTTTTTCCCCCTCTTTCTCAGTTCAGCAGTTTCAAAAGGGAGCTTGCGCACTTGCATAAATATTCAAAAGCTCTGAAGTTCACCTAAGTCAGGTCAAAATCAGCGTTGTAATTTGTGTCAAAGGGATTGCTCAGAACAGCTTTTTTTTAATGTGCCCAAGGCTCAGACCTGTGCTCAAAAGACAAGGAGAGCTGCTCCAATAGTGAGGTACAAGTCTAAAGCTTGGTAGGGCACAATGTGCTCCAGGGAGAGGTTACCGAGTGTCTCTATTTTGGTTCTAGCTTCACAGGTTCTCTTGATTCTGGTGATATATTACCATTTTTGACCATTTTGAGGATGTTCTGCAGGACAGCTCTGTCTAGGCTGCCTGCCGTCCAGCCTCCTTGGAAAAATGGCACTGTACATTCACAGATCAGGCCTGCTTTGCATCCACAATGAGCCTGAGGCACCCCTAAAACCTCGCATCATTGTCTTGCAGATGGTGATCATCAGTCAAGAGCAGCATTCATTTGTCCTAATTGCATCTTATTCACTGAATGTACCCTGCAGGGCTGACTTGCCTATGCCCAGTAAGCTCTGCTCATTCATGCCTGCTGCAGATGCATGAATGAACTGCAGGGTGGGACAGGCTGGTCAGATGTACTGGGGTCTTGGCACATTTTTCCAGTGAAATTTGAGCAGTTCTGGTATCTTAATCTGTAAAACTGGTGTAACAGGAGTTCTCTGCCTCTCAAGGATGGGGAAAACTAATGCAATTAAGATGGTGAACTGGTACTATAGGACTGGATCTGTATAAATATCTCAGCCAGTAAAACTGATCTGGCACTCAGAGGATGAGATTACTGTCTCTCATCCCCCGGCTGAGCCTGAAGCACTATGAACAATAAGACCACCTTGTAGTTCAGCTCCCAGTTTTACACAGAAAACAGAAAATCCCTTCGCTGAAGCTGTGGAGGCGTCGTGCCCCTATGTGCTCTCTTCTATCAATGATCACATTCCTGCGAAATGGAAAGTCCTTGATGAGCTGCCTCCTTCTTCCTTTAGTACCCGGGTTGTGTTGGTTACACCAGAGCAGCCTAAGCCATGTCTCTAGCTCGTGTGAGGCTGTTTCAGCCCTGAAATGTCACCGGGCTCCTTGGTCTTCTCTCCCCAAGGAACCACTGCTGTTGTCCATCCAAATACCTCTGTCCTCAGGCTTGAAGATCCCCTGCTGTCTAGAAAGGGGGCAGTGGGCTTGTCACAGAGCCCCAGTTGATGCTGCGTACGTGTTCGAGTTGTGGGCAAGCCTTGATTTGGGACCCCCTTGTGGGGGTTGCTGCCTTCCTTGGGGGGTGCTAACTGCAGAGGGGAGGAGAAGGAGGAGGCTTCCTATCTGCATGGGGACTGTGGATGGCATGGGGAGAGGGTGCCAAAAAAACGATCAAAGCAACATGAAAACACCCAGAAACAGGCAGAAGCAGACAGTGCCAGCTCAGCAGGATAGAGCCCTCGGTGCTGTAGCCATGGACGACGCGTGGGGACGGTGCCTGCTGCCTAGGATCCCATCAGCCTCCTGTATCCTTTTTAGGCAGCTACTTGCTTTGCCTACACCTGAAGCCGATCTCAATGAAATGGCAACGGGGAGCCTTCGAAAGCAGCTTCTGTTGGGCTGAAGGCAGGAGGATGTTAAGGTTGTGCTGAAGAAAACTACCCTGTGGCTTGGGAAAGGGAAAATGGAGGCTCCTGGCTTCCCACCCTGCTCACCTTCCCCAAGCCTCTTCCCACTGCCTGACTTCTGATTTTGTGTTTCAGTGTCTAACCAGCCTAAAAATAAATATAACTCTAAGGGAACAAAGGTGCTTGACAGTGAAACACCAGATGGTGACCGTGTTAAGTAGAGAAGCAGTAACAGATCAGAAGTTGTTGACTCCCAACCAGTAAGAAAGTGAATGAAGGAAATGCTTGGGAAATGAACGGAAAAATAACTTCCATAGGGTTTGATTTTTAATTTACATTTTTATTAAAGGCTGCTTGCTCCCCTGCCCCCCCTCCTGCGTTAAGCAAGGTTCCGTTTGTTTTGACTTTTCAGCATCTTTGTTCAAAACAGATGATAAAGAAGAGTCCTATAAAACTCCTGGTCTTAATCCCTTTAGAATTCCTATCACTGCTTTGCTAGAGTTCATGTCAAAAGAATTTTAGTGATGCCAATAATTGCTAAAGCATGACCATGTTTTTCAAATTATACTTCTGATACAAGTGGCAATTAAAAAAAATCCTGCAAGATTAGATGTGGTTTTTAAAAATTACTTTTGTGCTACTTCTAATTTTGTTTAACCTGTTTTTTGGCAGTACTCTGTATATATTTAGTTTCCCTGGTTCCCATTTAACATTGATTATTTACTTTTGTGGGTCTTACAAAACATTTGAGAGAGAACTCTTTTTAAATTGCAGAAATCAGAAAGTGGATGTGTAGACTTTGCAGCTGAAGTTGGCTTTACAATATTTTAAATAACTGAATGGATTTGATTTTGATGATACTCTTTCTAAGAAAGATTAGCCATTTATGGTCTTTTTTTTTTTTTAATTTAGGACTGAAATAAGCTTTCTTTTGTGATATCTGTTTTCAGACCTTTTCCCCATGCCAGATATTTCACAAAGGAAACATTCTTTCAAATCTTGCCACAGTATGTAATTTTTCTGGAAAGCTTGGGTAAAAGCCATCATCACCACTAACGAAAGTAAAAATGGCTTTGCAGCTCACTGAGACAATGAATAAAAGATCATTCTCCTTTTTTCCATAATGGCTTGCTCACCAAATATATACGATATGTTTGGTTTTGGTCAAGAAACATGTACACCTCCTTAAGTGTGAGGGGTTAACAGGAAAGGAGAGAGGGGATTACCCAGTAGTCCCTCCCCTCCATAAATCTCAGTTAGAAAAAAGTGCTTTTGTATTCTTTCTTATCCGGTGCATTCCCTCCATGTGCTGTGACAGGCAAACCTGTTTCTACATTTTCACCTTGGAGAGGGGACAGCAGAAAACTTTCCCAAATAAAGGAGAAGCAGTAAGGAGCGGTGCTGCAGAGGCTCCCTCACTAGATGCTCTGAATTGACCCTGACTCACTGCGGGATGGGGGCCGGCACGCTGACTCATTTGCCTTGTGAATCTTTTGTCTGTATTTGATGTGGTTTGAAATAAGGTCTCAGACATAAGAGAGGGTGATGGAGGCTCTCCGGGAACACGCAGCAGCGGTGTTCGAACCACATCCTGCGCCGTCAAGTTCTGCGGCTTCTCCTCGTGCCTCAGGGCAGCAGAACTACGATCGCGTCTGGAAGGAGATCTATGCCTGCACTGAGCTCCACCAGGTACTTAGAAGGGGAAATGATGAATAAAGGTCAATTAACATGTCTAGCAGGCGTTTGTCAGCTCTGATAGAGGGCTCCTCTAACAGGTGTCTGTTTGGACACCAACATTCCCCTTTTTCAAAATTCAGTCTCGTGCTACTGCTGCTAAGCAGGACCTGCCCAGCTGCAATGTGCGGTCACATGCCAAGGCCGCATACATGATGTCCTCTCCTCCTTGGGGCTCACTAGCTGCTGCGTAGCCACCGGTCCAGTCATAGCACAAGCAGTGTGAGATTGCACCTATCGAAAAATAACATACATACATGCCTGTAGCAGATCTGGGGTGTGAATCTGGCCTCAAGAAATAGAAGTGTGCCCTAGTATTTACTAGAGAGTGTGGTATTAGGGAATGGGTTAGCAGGTGTGTATGCAGGAGAGGGGAGGAAGGATGGCGGGATGTCTTCGTTGCTGGGGGCCATCCAGCAGCTGAGCACCTGTGAACCTGACAGAAGATGCCTGCTTTGTGCAGGGGCGGGCATGATAGCAAGTTCCTCCTCCTGGGGAGGAAGTGGTGTTTTTGGGCACGGCCTCACGGAGGCTCAGAAGCTGAGAGAGATCATCAAGTTTTGAAGAGGGGGAAAAAACCCACAATTGGCCTAACTGTCAGGGTAGTGAATGAGGAGTAGGACCCACCTCTCTGGTATCTGGGGAATTTGTAGTAACTGTGCCATGCCTTCCCTGGCGAGCTCTGTGACTAATCCCCTGAATTTGAAAGTATCCCTTTGATGAAGATGGACTTTGATTCCCTAGTTCTTTATTGTCCTTCTGACTCAGAAGTTGTTCACAGCTGCTGCTTTGACAAGTATGAAAGCATTACTCACAGAACTGTTACATCTCAGAAGTTCCTGTATCCGCGGCCCAGTGCTTCCTTTGGCTCGCTCTTACCCGTGCCTGCCCGCCCGCACCAGTGGGCCCTGGTGGCAAGTTAAGAAGGAACTGAACAATCTCCTTGCTTTGCTGTTGTTTTTTAAAGAGGAAAGGTCTCAGCTACTGGGGCTGGATGCAGCCCCAATGTTAATGAGAAGCTCTTGCACCCCTGCTCTTGGCCAGGACCAAGCAGGGCAGCGAGTGATAAAGGAGCAGGGGAAAGGGAACAGAGGGAGAGCGACAGCATTTAGTCTTTCCCCATTCCCTCTTTCCTGC